ATATATATATATATATATATAAACCATTCCTTTCAGTTCCTGTCCTGCTATCTATTCACGTAAACTCGTCAGGTCGATGACCTTATGCCTGCCTTTATTACTTTTACCTTCAATCAGCCCCGGGTGTATGAAATTCTCTAACCACTCCTTCCTCATTATGTCGCCCAGATATTACAACCGTTTCTCAACTCCCCTCTTAGTTCCTATTTTCTTTAAGATCTCCCCATTGCTTTCACGCCCCGTCCATGGTATTCTCAGCATCCTTCTGTAGAGCCGCATTTGCATTTCCTCCAGTTCAGCATTCCCTATAAACATAAGAGGAACGATACTGCGTAACAGTTCAGTCCTCTTTTCTTTCCTTCTAATGAAAATTTCCTGTTTCTTGATATTCTGTTTGGTTTCTGGAAGGCAGCTTTCGTTATTCCAATATGACTTCAGTTTTCGATGTTACATGACCTATCCTCTGTTAAAACACTTTCCAGATATTTAAACTTCTGTGTTTGATTATGTAAGATTCAGTCAGTTAAGTGCCATACGTGATACCTGCTTGAGCGATCATCTCTTTGGATTCATGACTGACTAGACAGAAGATAATCTCGCAGTAGGCTGCCGTTTCTTTCTGCAGTAGACTGGTTGCCAATTTGTCCTGTTATTCAACCCAAAGCTGGAGGTGGTGCATACCTTTCTCAAGGGTATTTGCGTGTAAGTGAATGAAACGAATCCAACTTGAACTCGGCTCACCGTTTTGTCATTTTGATTCGTTATTCGTTAAACTACACCGGATTTTACTGGTTTTATAAACCGCCCTTTAGAAATAATCTTCCGATATTCCTCATTCCCCTTTATATTCGGTCTTTCTCGGGACATATTAACATTGTCAAATCACTGACAAAACTAAATAATTACAAGATATAGCCACAATATTTTCCTTTAAAATGGAAAATACTTAGGGAGGGGAGGGTCTAAATAAAAACAAAACAAAACAAAAAAAAAAAAACACGTGGACAGAGCAAGATAAGCCATAGAATCTTTCAAAGCATCACTTATCTTAGAACCTACTTGACGATATTTCTATTTCATTAAATCAATGGCACCTGCTTAGAACACTTTTACAATGAAGAGTGGAAGTTTTTTCCCCCATTCTTTTAAAGGTTTAAACACTTAAAAGTCGTGTCTTAACAATCTAAATTATCTTAAAAGAAACTCCAGTTTAAAAAGTCAAGGGATCTGATTTAACATCTGTGTATATTTCTGTGATGAGATATTTTAACTGTCTACACCATTTACATTGTTCGAACTGTTGTCCTCATCTTCATTCACGACGTTTCGGCCATTGTACGCTCCGCCTTCTTCAGGATCTGTCTATATTTCTGAGATGAAGTATTGTAACTATCTACACCATTTACATTATTCCAACTGTTGTCCTCATCCTCATTCACGACGTTTCGGCCATTGTACGCTTCGCCTTCTTCAGGATCTGTCTATATTTCTGAGATGAGGTATTGTAACTATCTACACCATTTACATTGTTCGAACTGTTGTCCTCATCTTTATTGTCACATTCACGACGTTTCGGCTATTGTCTGTTCCGGCCTTCTTCAGGTGATATTTGGTAGAATTTCGAATCGAACAATTTAATTATTCTATTGAGGGAGGGTAGGTTGTTATAACTCCACGTACCATTCCTTTGGATACATCTATTTTTAGTTAATTCACCTTGATAACTCTTCAAGTTTTTGTTCATTGTTGAGGTCAGGGATTGAACTCGAAACTCTCAGTGTCAAGTTACTTTTTGGATCAATCAACGAAGGCTTTTATCCAATAGGTCATGAGTCTTTGGGGATCTGATTGAGTTTTTGCTGGCAAGACATATACAACTTAGGGCGTCGAAATCGAATTTTTTCCCCGGGATTTTCTTTCAATGAATTTCTAGATTTGAATCCCGAATTTACCCTGTAATGGGTAAAGCTATAAATGTCCTAGGAAACCTTTTAATAGCCATACAAGTGGGGCTATAGAATTTATTTATTTCATTCGGATTTTATCAATTCCCTTCATAATTTGTTTTTCAAATTGTAAAATATTTAACTTTATTTACATTTTTCTTTTTATTTAAAAGAAGTTATAACAAAAGCCGGACAAACAAAAAACACTTTATTCCAGTTTTGAAACTGTATTTTGATTGCGTTAAATTTTCTTTATTAATATACAGATAACGTGAAAAGCTATTCTTTCAGTAAATTATATTGATGTGATTTTTCGAAATAAAACCAGTTTGCGCTATGGTTAGATAAATCGCTATTTTTTTTTAAATTCTAATTTTAAGTTATTGTTCAAATCTATCTTTTCTACAAATACTTTCACAGTAACTACTTCGACGAGCTACTTTCGCTGGTTCCCAGACTGCATGAATTTAAGCGTGCTACTAGGCTGGCATCACGGTCCCACCAGTTCATAGTCGAAACGGTTAAATGTGGCTGTCTCTTCTACTCCAATAGTTTCATGTCTCGCACCTCTCGCCTGTGGAATTCCCTTCCTATTACTTGTTTCACTGATAGCTATAATCTCCAACTATTCAAATGTAATGTCAATCGACATCTCCAGATGCCCTGATCTATTCCCTGTCCTTCTCTTCATCCTTTCCTCCATCACATCTCTTTACTCTCGCTTCCACTCTGTAACCTTCCTGTGTACTAGTGGCACCCCGTCTTGCTTGGGGGGAAATTCTTAAAAAAAAAAAAAATAAAAAAAAAAAATCTGAAATCACTGTGTGTCATTCTTGTGTCGACTTGTTTAAACACGATCTATCACATAACGAGTTGAGAGAGCTGATTTTGTTGCATTTACTTTCACACAGCGAAATATATGGATCCACTTCTTCTCAACCGCTTCTATGAGTATTTAACTTTTCGCTCTTTTTGAGAGGAGATGGATTCGTGTAGGGCAGATCGGACTCTTTAGCCGTGGTTGGCAACCAGTCTAGGAGAAAGATAACTCTGAATTTAAAACCCAGTTATCTGATGTTGTGCAAAAAGTTTGCTCGCTAGACATGTGTTGTCGATAATGTCTACAAAACAAAAACAAAATAGACTTCAACAATTATGGATGACCTCAATGGAGAAGGATTATCCAGGCTGTCATTGACACTAACTGGCATTGGGCCCGTGCTGCTGGATGTAAAATTTTTAATTTTTTTTATGTATTCTATGACTTAGGGGATGGTCAGGGCACCATATGAAGTTCTTCATAGTATCTTTATCAAGTAGTCATTTGACAATGCCTATTTCCTTACGATGTAATGAAACAAGGAGTTCTGGTTTTACATAGCAACATAGAATAATCATTGACTTAACTGCAGTCTTTTTCATCAGTAACGGTGGCATAACAGTGAAGAGGTCTTTGCCAAGATATGTAGCAATGTAAGGAAACACCAAAATAGATGGATTTCTTATTTTTTTCTTTTTCAACGGACATTAGTATGAATACAAGTAGTTTCGAATTGTCGACAGTTACGCCACTTGTTTTGTGGTTGCCTAAGATCAAAGTGTAGTATCTGTTCTTATCAGCTTCATCTGATTCTCTCTCTTCACTTCTATCTTTCCTTCTTTCTTTCATCTTCTAGGCCTTTTCACTAAGATCAAAGTGTAGTATCTGTTCTTATCAGCTTCATCTGATTCTCTCTTCACTTTTATCTTTCCTTCTTTCTTTCATCTTCTAGGCCTTTTCACTAAGATCAAAGTGTAGTATCTGTTCTTATCAGCTTAATCTGATTCTCTCTTCACTTTTATCTTTCCTTCTTTCTTTCATCTTCTAGGCCTTTTCACTAAGATCAAAGTGTAGTATCTGTTCTTATCAGCTTCATCTGATTTCTCTCTCTTCACTTCTATCTTTCCTTCTTTCTTTTCATCTTCTAGGCCTTTGCACTAAGATCAAAGTGTAGTATCTGTTCTTATCAGCTTCATCTGATTCTCTCTTCACTTTTATCTTTCCTTCTTTCTTTCATCTTCTAGGCCTTTTCACTAAGATCAAAGTGTAGTATCTGTTCTTATCAGCTTCATCTGATTCTCTCTCTTCACTTCTATCTTTCCTTCTTTCTTTCATCTTCTAGGCCTTTTCACTAAGATCAAAGTGTAGTATCTGTTCTTATCAGCTTCATCTGATTCTCTCTCTTCACTTCTATCTTTCCTTCTTTCTTTCATCTTTTAGGCCTTTTCACTAAGATCAAAGTGTAGTATCTGTTCTTATCAGCTTCATCTGATTTCTCTCTTCACTTCTATCTTTCCTTCTTTCTTTCATCTTCTAGGCCTTTTCACTAAGATCAAAGTGTAGTATCTGTTCTTATCAGCTTCATCTCTTTTCTTTCATCTTCTCTTTTCTTCATCTTCTATCTTTCCTCTTCTTTCTTTCATCTTCATCTTAGGCCTTTTCACTAAGATCAAAGTTCTTATCAGTATCATCTGTTCTTATCAGCTTCATCTGATTCTCTCTCCCCACTTTATTCTTCCCTTCTTTCTCTCTTTCCTGCTTTCATTTTCTCAATGAAACCAAGTAGTGTCTTTCCTCCTCTTTCCATGCGATCAGAACGAAAGATGTATTGGCAGGGCATAAAGGTTGTGCGAAATAACGATAGTCCATTATTTGTGAGGTATTATTAGCAGGAGATGTTAAACACTACTTTCTGTCTTTCTTTTTTTTATGCTAAAAACTAATTAGCATCTCTTCCATGCGGTCAAAACGGAATATTCTATAATTTATGAGGCATTGGCGGGGCGTAACGGTTGTGCGAACTAACGAAGGGATAGGCAAGCTGTATTTTTTTTATATGATAATGATTATGTGTTCTTGTTATCTTTGAGAAGTTTGATACGCCGTTGCTAATTTCACTGTGTGTTTTTATATTTTCAGGCAGCTCACAAGTTTGTAGACCTCACTTCCACACTCCTCTCCATCCATGGTTAGCTGAAAGCAAACCAGTAATGGCACATTCAAGTCCGAGTTGGATGAGCCCTTTCAGCAAGTCTCTCACTCACCCGAGTCCAACTGCACCGCTCTCCGTTCACCCACCCACATCCATTGCTACGTCAAGCTCATTTAGTTTCCCACCCACGCCTCCGAAGGACACCAGTCCGGACAGCATAACCGGGGCCACAGGTGACTATACTGATAACAAACCCTTCAAGACAGTGGACGAGACCGACCCCCAGAGTGGTGCCGTGGGTGGCGTTGGTGCTGTCGGAGCTGTTAGTGGCGGCAGTGGAGGAAACAATGGCGGAATTCCCCATTTTCTCAACACGCACAGTTCAGCCCACATGACCAGCTATCCTTCATATATGTCCAGTTCAGAATACTCAGCAGCTCCTCTCGGATTTCACCATGCCACAAGCATGTTCAAAGCAACATCAGCTTTGTCTAGAAGTCGATCAAAATCGCGTTCAAATTCAGGTTGGTTTAACTTCCTATTCTTTTAACCTAATAAGTTGCACTATTGTTTTCATTAGATACCTCTACTAATTCGCTGAACAGCAGCATACCATGATGAAAAAAAAAATTTAAAAAAATGACCAAACTCTATGAAAACAACGATTTATCATGAAAATGTTTGTTATTAAGAAGAAAAAGTTTTTTTTTTTTTTAAATTATTTCATTTATTTTTTAAATCCTTTCTATTAGGGTGGTGCAAAAATAATGACGTAATAATGTCGTTTTTGACGTATTTTTAACGTCAAAAACGACATTCTTACGTCATTATTTTGCACCACCCTAATAACACGTTCGAAATTTTGGGGAAAAATCTTGTGTCAGCGGTGGGCCAAATATTACTATAGGAATTTTAGTTTCTATTTTTCTGTAAAAAACACATAGTTTTGGAAATTCTTTTAGAAATCAAATAATGGTCTGATTTTAATTAAATTTTCAGGACTTATTCCAAACGAATGAAAGAAAATTTGAATTTTTTTTCTTTTTTTTTTTTTAGAATAAATCTTCTGGTTCACACTTCTCCCCGGACTTTTGAACAGGAATCTGGGTTTATCCTTTCTTACATGTATAGGACTGGATTTCCGGTTCCCTCAAAAGTCTTCTCATTCTCTGTGACTCCCAGTAGACCCTCGCATCTTAGTGGCATTATCGCCTTGCTTGGAGTGAACTGATTTTAATAGATATACATTTAATCCTCACTACCGGGAGAAAACTCTTATAATCTAAAAAAAAAAAAATAATAACAAGGATTTCATTCTCTGTGAAAAATGATGCATTCTTGATCTCTATATGGCTTACGGCCATATCACGTTGAAACACCGCATCTCATACCATCATCGAAGTTAAGCAACGTCGAGCCTGGTCAGTACCTAGATGGGTGACCCCTTGGGAATACCAGGTGCTGTAAGCTTGGATGTAGAGATAGTATGGCTTACGGCCATATCACGTTGAAACACCGGATTCTGTACGATCACTGAAGTTAAGCAACGTCGAGCCTGGTCAGTACCTAGATAGATGATTGCTTGAGAATACCAAGTGCTGTAAGATTAGATGTGCGAATATGTAATGGATAATGGCTCGAAATGAGAAATTGGAGAGACGAGTTTGAATTGCGCGCAAATAGCAATGGGGAAGATTATGAATCCACTTATTCCCCCAGCTATGGGTTGAAGAATTGGACCTGTATAAGAAAATCCTTAATATCTGCAAAAAATTCTTACAATCGAAGAACATGTTCGGGCTTGAAAAAAAGGTTGATAAGCCGTAAAAAACAAATCAATCAAATCCTGATCACTACAATGTTAACCTCTTCAAGTCTAGATTTATCTATCCTACATATCCTCGTAATCTGCAGTTATTTCCTCTTAGATTCATACAAAAACTTCGCTAACTGCTTCTCGTCGCTAAGGACGCCCGCCGCCCGTACGAAGACCAGTCACTCCCGCGGGAGAGTCCTGCAGTCGAACATAGACTTACGGAAACATGTTCTTACAGGGAGAACGATACGGTATATAGGCTTTGTATTTGAATATTTTCTTATAAGATTTCCAACATAAGACATTTGTGAGAATCGAAAAATATATTTTTTCTTTTTTGAAAATATTATTTCTTTGTTTCTTTTTTTGAAAATATTGTTTCTTTCTTTTTTTTTTTTAAATATTGTTTCTTTTTTTTTAAATATTGTTTCTTTTTTTAAATCCTTTTAAAAAAAGGGGTCCTGTTCATAATCTAAATACAATTTCGAATCGATTACTGATTTTTTTGGTTATGTGTACTATGTTTTATTTACAAATATGAAATTTGAGACTATGTCCACATCGTTGATAATTATGTACTACTGATGTTGTCCTTTTGTTCCATGAAATTAAGGAGACGCTTAAACAAACATTAGTCGATAATCAATATCTATCTCCAATGAATCCCACTATTAGGGATTTTCCTCATCCAATTCTTAATAAACTATATCGGTAGTAAGCCTTCTGATCGGGAGATTGGCGGTTTTCAGGAACGTAGAACCACCTCTTAATTGCTGTTGTTCCCAGGTCCACCTTGCCCCAGGGTGGTAGCACCTGTTAGGGTCCTAGCTATGGGCAAATAGTGAAAACCAAAACAAAAATAAAAACATTAGGAAAGTATAAAAATACATTTTCATACTAAAAAAATACTAGTAATGCATTGGTATTTAAACAAATTACCAAGGTAGGAAGTGGAGATTATGAAGATATATAAAAATTAATCCTTGAATATCCGTCTATATTTCTGAGATGAGCTATTGTAATAATTTACACTATTTATATTGTTCGGACTGTTGTCCTCATTTTTGTTGCCAGATTCACAACGTTTCGACCGTTGTACGCTCCGGCCTTCTTCAGGTGATTGGAATTTCGAACCGTTTATTTCGTCCACCGCGGAAGATTGTTCTAATTCCACGTGACATGCCTCTTCCGAGTTTTTTTTTTTTTTTTTTTTTTTTTTAACCTCTGCTGTGGTCAGATATTGAACTCACAGCTCTTTGGGTCAGGTCATTGGATTACTTCAAGCAACGCTGTTATCCACTGGGTCGTGTGCCCTTGAGATGTCCGGAAGAGGCATGGCACGTGGAACTAGAACAATCTAACCCCGGTGGACGAAATAAACGGTTCGGTTAGAAATTCCAATCGCCTGAAGAAGGCCGGAGCGTAAAAACGTCGTGAATATGGCAATAAAGATGCGGACAAATGCGATGCGATGCAAATAGTGTAAATAATTGATCCTCGACTTGAAAATCGTTACCTTCAGGAAAGCACACGGGCGGGAGTCTGTTTCAGTAGCAGTACTTAAGTCAAAAACTGTCTGAGTGAAATTTTCACCTGACAAACCTTATTAATCATAGTGCTTGCAGAAAGGGTTCTAAAATATTTATTTACCTTAGCCTCGCAAAGAACTCATTTTAACGCCTAAATTCTGTATTCCAGTGAACGGGTCTGCAAGTGTAGGTTGGTAACCAAACGCTCTAGGGCAGGCGGCCACCATATATTCATAATTTATATGCGTAAACGGCAATCTATGATCATTAATTCATAATGAAACATCCACATTACATGGTTGAATTATGGTCGGTAAGTATATTTCTTTGATGAACGGGATTGTCCACATGATGCTCCGAAAGTAATGCCTCCAATTTATTTCCAAGAAGGCTACAACAGATACCGGGAACACAATAACACTGCTGGATGGAGCAAATTTTCAGCTACAAAACAGCAATTATTCCACCCACTCCTGCGCATCATTCATATTCATCACAATTGCCTCCCCCACATTGATAGACGTCACCATTACTTTCCCCCCACACATAGCCATTACCTTTACTCCTCCCCCACTACACACATAGTCGCCACCATTACCCCGATTCGTTGACTTCAGCGGGCTTACGGCCACATCACATCGAAACATTGGTTCCCGTAGATCATAGAAGTTAAGCAACGTCGAATCTAGTCAGCACCTCGGTGGGTGACCGTTGGGGAATTCCAGGTGCTGTAAGTTTAGATGTGCAGGTGTAATCGATAATACCTCGGAATTGTTTATCGGAAAGCTGTGTTCCAATTCCAGTTGGGTTCGTTATATTCACTTATGTAAAAATATCCTTGAGAAAAGTAAGAATCTACCCATCTCCCCTCACCTATGGGTTAATTAGTAAAACGTGTATCACCAAAACCATTATTATCTTAAAAGAAATTAAAAAAAAAAAAATTGTCGCCACTGTTAAAATGCGTTACTCATCAATTAACTGAGCTCACGTCCACAGTTTGGTCTCCCCAAAACAGTAAGTGTCGAAATGCGTGAAGTGGGGGAATAGTTTCCTACGCATTTTGATTTCAGGCGTTATTTTTGATATCTGTAACAGCTGAATAAAATATGGGTTACTGTTGGGAAGGTTTAACCTCTGCGGCCATACCACGAACATCCGCCGCTTACGTTGTGTCCCAACATAATAAAATTGAAGCCTTTACTTACGGGGTGTGTCTTTTATTTCAGTGTCTCATGAGGTCGCAATATTCGACACAGTTAAATAAAACAGGCAGTAAATAAAAAAAAATAGTTTTAAATCGGTGAAAATGTTACCTGAATCATGACCAGAAAACAAAGATGATCAGATAAAGGTCATCGAATCGACACACACACACACACACACACACACACACACACACACACACACATATATATATATATATATATAATAAACAATAAAATCCAAAATTACCTCACTTGGGGAATAGACTATTTCGGCAGACGAAGATATTGGTCGTCTGTCTTATCAAACCCGGTGTGGAGAGAGTTCGTGTCTATATACAGGGGCGGGGAATAGTATTTAACTGTGAAAACTAAAAAAAAAAAAAAAAAACCTTTCGAAAAGACTGATATAGAATTTATCCATTTCAATGTTTCATTCAGACGAAAGGCACAAGACAGGGATCAGAGGAGGGTGTAAGGTATTTGTCATAGAGAGAAGTTTTATAAAATTAAACCCGAATATTAACCTTATGATATGAATTTGGGATTATATGAAGAATAAAATATTAATTTAAAAAACAAGAAGAATAAAAAGGTGGCTATAAAAATAAATTTAAAGAGGCTAGAAATTGAACTCGGCTTGTCTCTATTCGTGACGTTAGCCGTCACACTTACCAGCACATTCGTTGCAAAAATACATTCCTTGTGTGGCTAATATGCGAAAATATTCAAAGCCTATTGACTGTGTGTGTGTGTGTTTTTTTTTTTTTAGGTCAGTTCTGTTTGTCAAGTGTGTAGACGGAGCTTGTTGCATATTATGTGACCCTGCCATTAACAGTCCTTGACCCTTAAGTCAAAATTGGCAACCACCGTTGATGATACATTTGGTCGCATTTGTCGTAATTACAAACTCGGACAGAGATCTCGTTATCGATTAATGAAAACATGTAAACAAGAAAATTAAATGGCATAAATTAAATTCAACCATTATTGGCTGAAGAAACTCGAAGGAAACCATTAAACGAAATTCATGAAATTTGTTAAACTAAATCCTGAATACCTTTAAAACAAAAGGAATCATTAGAATCTCATTAATTTTTGCAATTTCGCGCGGTTGAATTGCAATGGAGGACTTTTGTTTCTCATGCATATGCAAATGAGCCTTAGGCTGAAATAGCAACATATACGGCATGAAATAGTTGCCATCTTTCTTTCGTAGTATTTTATTGTTCATACTTTCCTCATTATCATCGCTTGTAGCAGTAATAATGTTGGCATTAACTTTAGATTAGCTCTCAATGTATAATGTCTAGCTATGATTCAAAGTGTTTCTTTTTTTTTTTTTTCATTTATATCTAAAGCAATATTAAACAGTCTATCACGATTAATTTGAAGTCAGCCAAATAAAGAAAGAAAAATTATTTTTAAAACGTTTTTATTGAAGAGTAAGTCGCACAAATTTTAACTGCTACGGGAATTTTCTTTTTTTTACGTTGCTGTAATTCGTACGAATATCCTTCTCCATTTTTGATCTCATTTCAGTTGACGATGAATGTATACCTTTGTTTTGAGACACAAGCACACGTATATATATATATATATATATATATATATATATATATATATATATATATATATATATATGATGTGTGTGTGCGTCATAACGATATATATATATATTTTATATATCAAGGACAGTATTGGGGAAAAAATGCCTGACAAAGTGGAAAACGTTTTTCGTGTGAAGCGTTTTTGTCCCCAGGACATTAGCGAGCTAAATTTGTTAGGTTAGTGCGACTACGTATGCACGAACAGGGAAAACTGGGAATTTAAACTTTTATGGAAACGTCTGGTTAAAAAAAAAATAAAGTTAATGGCATTATCGCCTTGCTTGTGGTGAATTGATTAAAAGTAAGTTTACGTTAAACATATGAACACTTAATTTTTCATCTGAATTTAAATCACGCACACATCTATCTATCTATCTATCTATCTATCTATCTCTGTTCATTATCTATCTATCTATCTACCTATCTCTGTTCATTATCTATTCATTCATCTATCTATCTATCTATCTATCTATTCATTATCTCTGTTCTATCTATCTATCTATCTATCCATCTATCTATCTATCTATCTATCTCTGTTCATTATCTATTATCTATCTATCTATCTATCTATCTATCTATCTATCTATCTATCTATCTATCTCTGTTCATTATCTATCTATCTATCTCTGTTCACTATCTATCTATCTATCTATCTATCTATCTATCTATCTACATATATTAATCCGAGAACTTTTCAATACCCACTTTGTGTCCGTGTGTGTTTTTATTCTAAAACTTTTAATCCTCAAAATTGCATTAAATCTTTATTTATTTCGCGTATATTAAAATCGGATAAACGTTTTTTGTATTTTTTTTATTTATTTTAACCGCCATATTTGTTTAGTGGATTCACCCAGATATTCTTAGAAAAATGTTTGTAAACATCAAAAGGGGAGTTTAGAAAATGAAGCTAGGTTTGTTTACAAGTAAATATGGCGGGGTAATGGTTCAGGGTGTTTTCTTCCTTGACTCTTCATCACAGTCCTTCAAAGCATCCGTTAGCGGTAATATTTCCAAACGATAACTCGTCATATTATCAAACTGAAATGACTTCCTAATGCTCTAACCAGAAAAAGAAAAACACATTGAGATTGTTTGCCAAGGGATAGCAAATACAACGGAAAAGAAATGCCGGTAATAAATGGTGAGAAAGAGAAAGAAAAATAATTAGTTTGTTGTTATTGTTCAACGGCATATCAACATCTCTATGGGTTATTTAATGCCGAAATCTAAATATTTTGAATACAGTTTTATGGTTTCAGCTACATATATTTTGAACGTAATTGTAAACCATCAACTACAATCTATCAATCTATCTATCTATCTATCTATCTATCTATCTATCTATCTATCTATCTATTCAGTTGTTATCTATCTATCTATCTATCTATCTATTCAGTTGTGTTTCTATCTATTCAGTTGTGTTTCTATCTATCTATCTATTCAGTTGTGTTTCTATCTATTCAGTTGTGTTTCTATCTATCTATCTATTCAGTTGTGTTTCTATCTATCTATCTATCTATCTATTCATCTATCTATCTATCTATCTATTCAGTTGTGTTTCTATCTATCTATCTATTCAGTTGTGTTTCTATATCATCTATCTATCTATCTATCTATTCAGTTGTGTTTTTCTATCTATCTATTCTATGTTTCTATCTATCTATCTATTCAGTTGTGTTTCTATTATCTATCTATCTATCATCTATCTATCTATCTATTCATCTATCTATTCAGTTGTGTTTTCATCTATCTATCTATCTATCTATTCAGTTGTGTTTGTTCATCTATCTATCTATCTATCTATCTATCTATCTATCTATTCAGTTGTGTTTTCATTTCTATCTATCTATCTATCTATTCAGTTGTGTTTCTATCTATCTATCTATCTATTCAGTTGTGTTTCTATCTATCTATCTATCTATTCAGTTGTGTTTCTATCTATCTATCTATCTATCTATCTATCTATTCAGTTGTGTTTCTATCTATCTATCTATCTATCTATCTATCTATCTATCTATTCAGTTGTGTTTCTATCTATCTATCTATCTATCTATCTATCTATCTATTCAGTTGCGTTTCTATTCATCTATCTATCTATTATCTATCTATCTATCTATTCAGTTGTGTTTCTATCTATCTATCTATTCAGTTGTGTTTCATCTATCTATCTATCTATCTATCTATCTATCTATCTATTCATCTATCTATCTATCTATCTATCTATCTATCGTTTCTATCTATCTATCTATCTATCTATCTATTCTATCTATCTATCTATCTATCTATCTATCTATCTATCTATTCAGTTGTGCGTTTTCTATCTATCTATCTATCTATTCAGTTGTGTTTTCTATTCATCTCCATCTATCTATCTATCTGTTCTATTCATCTTTCTATATCTATCTATCTATCTATCTATTCAGTTGTGTTTCTATCTGTCTAATACATAATTTTGTACTTCGGGCTAACCGTATGCCTTGTAGATATATAGTATTTGGGGAGTCGACGTGGTGTAATGGTTAGAAAGCTTGTCTTACTAGATCCATTACAACTGAGTAGTGAGTTAGATCCTCGCTGGGTGCCCCATACTTTCGGCCTTGTGCCACATCTAAGCCGGGCTTAAAGAATCACTATAGTATTTGGGGAGGGGATATATGACAAAGTGGAAAAGTTTTCGTGTCACGCGTTTCTTTAGGACTTCATCAGACGAGGTCTATGTTTAAGTTGATGCGACTGATGGACGTTGATAAGCAAACATCTCTACTCCTATTAAATGACAAAAAAAATGAGTTTATTTTAAACAAATACTTAATTTTCAACATAATCTCCTTCCGTCTCAATTCTTCGGGAATGGACGGGTCTATTTAATTTTACAACACCAAGAATTATACGCTTTTGATTATCTTTTAATTATTTCAAAAGAAGTCACATCTTAATGAAATTCTGTTGGAAGCATAATCTCATTTGCCTTCCCAAATTACAATGGCTTTTAACGCTGATGGAATATTAACAAAAAAAGAAAAAAAAGAAAAAAAGACACATGCTCATATCAACGGTTAGTGATCGGTAGGGACAGGATTGTAAACCTCAGAGATCATTCCTGAATCTGATGAGTTTTAATTAATATCAAATCCGTAAGTGGAAAAGATAATCCAAGTAGGTCATTTTAATATATAATATTAAACATATATCCATAAAGAGAGCTCAATGTACAGTATACAAAGTAATATGATATACACAAAGGAAAAACTTAGCGCATCGTGACACGGTTATAAATTATAAGTAAAGTAAATTATAATTGTTTTCAATGATGCGTTAAACTTGATTATATATATATATATATATATATATATATATATATATATATATATATATATATATATATATATTCATTGGATCCTCAACAGAATGCAGTAAGCACTGGATGGCAGTTTCGTGACTCATCATCAGTGCGCATCCATTACCGAGAATCGAACCCCGACCGTTATCCTACAAGAGAAGCGTCGTACAAACGGGCCACGATGGCGAAGAATAAACAGAATAGACTCGATACAGCGCCGCTACTCACAAATTCTGTGGTGATACTCATCCAAGTATTCATAACCCAACTGGTTGTGCCCCAAGAGCCACGTCTTTCTTTTCCCCTTACCCGTTCCATCGCAGAGCATTAGCTGGATCAAGCAAGGATATGCAAGTGATAGAATTTTGAAGAATTAAGTAATCAATATACCATATATATATATATATATATATATATATATATATGTTGAAACTTGACTAATGCATGGAATAATAATGCAACACAAAATGTACTTAGAACAAAATGTATTGAAACAAGAAAGTGTACACAATATTTACATATAGTCTTTTGTATATTCCTGGTAAGACCGTTCCTGGAGAATGTGTTGACTGAGTCGCAGTCGGGCAGAGTCTCTGGTTGAATCTCTTGATTCCTTCCTCTCTTCCCGGTACCAAACATATTTATATGGTCGGTACTCCACTATGCAAATTAGGTGGATCCTACCACAACAATATATATTGACACAATTGAATAGATAGATAGATAGGAACACAATTGAATAGATATAATATAGAATTAAATAATCAATATAGTAATCAATATACTACATATATATATATATATATATATATATATATCATCTAAAAAGAAGAAAATTATTAGATCGGATGAGAAATTGTATAAAAACTAAAAGCACCTTGTCTGTCGTATTCAATGAAATGTGCATAAAAGGATTGCTGCCTAATGTAAAAGAACGAAGAGTAAGATTTCAGCGTTCAAAACATTAATTTAAAACAGGGCTCACTATAAAAGTAGAGCCGTAAATATTTATTTATTATGCAATGTTACATTAGAACATACATATACCCACTACAAAACTGTACATCTTGTTTCAACGTTTCATCAGATGGAAAATCACGATGAAACGTTAAAAAATTTTTTAACGTTGAAACAAGATGTACAGTTTTGTAGTGGGTATTGGCATGTTCTAATGTAACACTGCATGATTATATATATATATATATATATATATATATATATATATATATATATAGTATAAGAAGATTTTCTGTTACAGGTTTCGAACTTTAGATCTTCAACGGACTAAGTTTATGCTTACATTCATGCGACTGCACATGCGCACGAGCGAGAGACGCTGGGAATTTTAAAATCTAAACATGATTTTTTTCCTCTTTCATGTGTTTTGCGTACATAATCTATCCGATTTCATTTTGATTAGATTGTTTTTCTTTTTGCTTCCATCAATTTTGCTATTAAATATCCCACATTGTAATAACAGAAAAATGTGGGCTATTTAATAACAAAGGTGACAGAAGCTAAAACAAAAAGAAAAAAAAATGATCTAAATGAAATCGGTTATATTATATACCCAAAACACATTAAAAAATTAAGAAAAAAAATCCTCTCTTGGTTAAGACGATATCCGAGTTCTCGGTAAGACGTTAAACTACGTCCAAACAGCAAGGCCTCTAATCAGGAGGTTTTGAGGAGCGTGGAACCACCTCTTAATTGCTGGTGTTCCCATATGCACCCTGGTCCGGGGTGGTAGCACTTGCTAGGATCCTAGCTATGGGCAAGTAGTTAACCCCCGAAACTGGGGTCAAAAGACTATGAAAGTATAAAGATAGGTTTTAATATCAGGAATACTTTTTTTTTTGTAAAAAATATTACCAGAAATACATTATTACCAGCAATACATTTTTGAAAAAAATAAAAAAATAAATATGAATAAATAACTAAAAATATTACCAGCTATACATTTTTTTTTTGAAAAAAATAATTACCAGCAATACATTTTTTGAAGAAAAACAAAATATTAATAGCAATAAAAAATTGTCGGCATTAAATAATCCATTGAGGTTGATATAACGTCAAGCAATTGAAGCCAAACATAAAAAATCGTATTTGAATTAAAAAAAAAAAAAAACCAGCGTCTGTCGTTTGTGCGCATGTGCAATCGCATCGCCGTAAACATAGTTCGCCCTACAGAACGAAACGCGTCACACGAAACCATTTTCCCAAAGTTGTTCTCGATATATAAAAATTTATACATCATTATCCCAGATATATAGTTTGTAGATGATCTTTTGTAGGTGTTATATGTTTTAGTATAAACCTATTTCTTTAAGATAGGACATTATGTTGACAGTTTCAGTATTTTCAAATAGTTTTGTCATATCGTTTTCTATGTAGTGTTTATATCTTATCGGTGCTAAATACATTCAGCTAAAATGTGTTTCACCGTGAGAGCGGCTTGGCTTTTTGGTTGATCTTCATTCTTCCACAAATATGAATGGGTCAGGCATACATGCAAACGAGCCATCATTACTTCTGCCTTTTTTTTTCCATTTCAAAGAAACCTGCCTCAATTCTCCCAGGACCGGTTGTAAGCTTTTTATTTTCGTTGTCGATCCATCTCTTCTGCGACTTCGGCTTAACGAAACTGTCTATATCACTTTCCAGGTTCGCATAAGGGATGCTAAGGGCTACATTTCAGGCAGACTTTACAACCGTGTCTGCCTGGTCATTCCTTTTGGATGCTTGGAATCCAAGAAAAAAAAAAAAGAAAAGAAAGGAGCTTCTGTTTTTAACTGCTTAATATTATCGCTTATAGACTGTAAACTAATTTGTTCAGTAGTATTATTTTTTACCAGCTCGGAATAAACAAAGTAAATTCTGTTTCCTAAGCATCACAGTTTTCTAATTAAATCACATTGTCTTCGTTTTACTGTCTAGTCTCGGTAACACACACTTGCCAATTTAAATAAGTGTTCCAAGGTGAAATGCTTTTAGAGCAAGACTTTTCTCGTAGATTTTTTTTTTTACAATCCTGTAGGGTACGATAAATAAATTAAGCTGATATATTTCAGATGTTGAAGGTGTTAGGTTTTAATTTTACCAACCCTAAAACCACAAAATTATAAATAATATATGCATTATAATTATATACATACATACGCACACACACACACACTCTCTCTCTCTCTCTCTCTCTATATATATATATATATATATATATATATATACGTTATAATTATACATCGTAAAAATAATGAAAATCGGTTAGTGAAGAATTTCATCTTTCTTAGACTAAATTAAAAAAATATTAACAGAAAACCTTCAATTCTTTATATGTGATATCTAGATATGGCACAGGGCCGCGAGTATTGAGCGCCAGGGGTCAAACTCAATACTCAGTCGTAATTAATCTGGCAAGACAAGTTTGCTAATGCTTACAGCACGTAGATTGAGTTACAGTTTTACGGCTTATCAACTACTTTTTTAAAAATATAAGACCTGCTATTTAACCCATAGCTGGTGGGAGTAAGCTGGATTAATATCTTTCCAAATAATGTTTAAATAATGTTTCCGTGTAAGTGAATCCACGTTGAAGTGCCACGTAGAGTTAGTAATAGTGATTTGTTTTTGAATCAATTCACCCCAAGCAAGGCAATGGCGCTACCAAGACGCAAGGGGCTACAGGAAGTGTATGGGAAAGAAAAAAAACAACTTATCTGCTCCTATTTAAGGTGGGGGGGGATACAACAAATAGTAAATAAAATTTTAGAGGCGAAAACCTTAGAAGTACAGAGTTGAAGCAGACGAGGAGGAACCGGAAATCCATTCCTAAACAGGAAACAAGGGATAAACCTCTACTCCTGTTCGAAAGACCGCAGAGGAACGTGAAACGGACGATTTACAAAGTATATCTTAGATGTGGCACAAGGCTGCAGGTACAGAGCACCCAGTGAGGATCGAACTTGCTATTCAGTTGTAATTGATTTAACGTAACCTGCTTGTTAACCGTAGCACGACGCCGAAGTGCCCTTGTTATTATTTTAATTATTGCTTTCGTTTCGTCGGGCATGCTTTTATAAATTCTCAGCTTAACATTGGATGGA